TTAGAACCATAAGCATATAGAAGTATTGTGTTACATTTGTAGATTGGATAAATGCAGCCAGTGAGTCTTATCCAAAGCCATTCCAGGCATGATGTCATTTTCTACTAATTCAATGATACCAGAAAAAGGAATGTGACAGCACTGAGCATTGTCGGGCAGTGTACACTGTGTGGTATACATGACTACTTTATGTCACGTTATTTTTATTAATTCTGACAAAAAATACTTGTGATTGGGCATCTTAAAGTATAACAATAGCTTTATTAAAAAATGATCAGGTGCAACAAGAAGCTAATATACTGAGAAATATAAAAGCAGGGCTGGGTTGCCAGTACTGGAGCCTGTATGCATACAACCTTTGGCTTCCAAAGCAAAAGTACTTTGTTCTATTTTACTGGTCCAACCTGGCTTACAATATTGTGACAAAACACACACTGTCTTGAACTGTAATCTGCACAAATACCCTACTGATGCTGTTTTAAATAAACCAATCCAAGATATCCAGCATAACACTGCAAAGATGATTAGATTTATATTCAGTGCCACCAAACAATCCATATCCCAATCATGGAAATGACCCATACTAAGCTTCCAAGAGGTTAAAACATGGCTAAAGGGCATGAAGATCAATGGAAAATTAATGGCTATCTCATTAGATAAACATGAGAAGTTCCTAAAAGGTTGGTTCCCATGGATAGCCAGTTCTCAATCCAATCTGGGAGCCCTGAGTATATGACAATGATCAGAGGGTTGGCCAACCCTTCCTCCTATCCCCCTAAATCTGCTATGTCTCCAAACCCCCCTGTTCATTACTGCAGTTTCTACAGTTTCCCCTACTGTGCTTCCAAATTTCTCTCCTGTACTGTTCTCAGGTGTTTTTCTTTAGGCCCCTTTCACACAAGTGGACCATTTGTCGGACCCTCCATTGTCCTCGCAGAGAGATGGGTGTCTGTTTACATCCGCCTTCCTCAAATCTGATCCGCTAAAAATAGATGGATGGGGATCCGTTCCCCTTCCATCTAGCGGATCTTATATCAGTCAGGTGTAAATGGGCAGGCAATCTGTTTATATCTGACCGCCCATAGAGGAGAACAGTCTGTGTCTTCTTTGCATAAGCTGTCCGCTGATCCCTAATGCGCAAGCGGACTCCTGGCAGAGTCTTCTCTGTGGGAAAGGGGCCTTAAGTAGTGCAGATACAACTAACTCTCATACTGAAGCAACATTGTACTTAGGGCCCCTTAGGGGCGTTTCTTAGTCCTACTTTGCTAAATATGTATGGCAGTATTAAAAACCAGACTAACATATGTTGTGTCTCCAATAACTGGAATGAAACTGGATACTCTACTCAGTAATGCTATTCTCACTTTATAATATTTGAAAACTGGTCAGCAATGTTTTAATTCTCCATAATTGTGGACCTTGTATTGACATTGCACCATTGAACTTAGCATTTAGAGTATATGCACTTATCCACATTACTTACCTTGTATTTGTCAAAACGTTAATAAAAATGTTTTAAATAAGACAGACAGTATAAAAAAGACCTAAGGCTAGGTTCACACTGCGGGATCCCACCTATTCCTGCAGCCGTAACCATCGAACAGAACACTCAGCAGATGTGTGTGGGTGCCATTAATCCTAATGGTACCCTCATACACTGGAAATCACAACAGCTGCTTCCTGAACTGGCAACTACGTTGGCTGTGATTTAAAAAATGGAGCAGGGACCTTTTTCCTGCATTTTCTGGAGGCATGGCAGCCCATTCATACAAACAGGCTGCTGTGTTAGCACACAGCTCGGCTCACAGACCCGCTATAGTGTGAAGCTAACTTGTTAGGCCCTGTATAAAAGTGTATTTACTGTGAGAAGAAATCTTTCTTTCAACTACCCAGGTCTGTTCTGGCAATCCAGCAAATCACTTTTGTGGTGATGGCATTTAGACATTAGACATGATGATCACATGAATTTGTTTATAACCACAGGATCAGCATAAGAGCTTGGTTAACCGCTTCCCCGTCACCCTTTAGCAGAAATATTGCTACAGGGCTTCGCAAAATCACGTATATATACATATAGGATTTGCATTTCTGGGCAAGGGGTGCGCACACACGCCGCCCTATCCATGCAACACCCTCGGTGGCTACAGATGTCAGTCACTGGGTCCTGGATGGAGATTCCCCATTGACACCCGGAGATTGCCGAGTATTACTGACAGGGGAGAGACCTGTGTGTAAACAACACAGATCTCTCTCCTGTCAGCATGGACATGCTGCTGTGTATTTCTCTGCACAGCATGTCTCCCTGGTAAAAACACACACAGCACATCATGTACAAAAGCACAAAGCACACAGTTAACCCTTTGATCGTCCCCAGATGTTAACCTTTTCTTGCACAGTGTCATTAGTACAATGTCAGTGCTTTTTATTAGCACTGATCACTGTATTGGTGTCACTGGCAATGTCAGTGACATCAAGTCAGTTCCCCCAGTGTCAGAATTCCTGCCACAATCCTGCTATAAGTCGCTGATCGCCGCCATTACTAGCATAAAAAAAAATAAATAAAATTCCAGTATACATACCGCCATTTGTAGATGCTATAACTTTCATGTAAACCAATTAATTTACACGTATTGGGATTTTTTTTTTTTAGCAAAGACATGAAGCAGAATACATTTTGACCTAAATTTATGACAAAATTTTATTTTTTACATTTCTTTACTGGATATGTTTTATAGCAAAAAGTCAAAAATATTGGGGGTTTATTTTTCAAAATTGTTGGTCTTTTTTTGTTTATAGCGTGAAAAATAAAAACGCAGAGGTGATCAAATACCACCAAAAAAAGCTCTTTTTGTGGGGGAAAAAAGGACATAAATTTAATTTGGGTGCAACGTTGCATGACCATGCAATTGTTAGTTAAAGTAACACAGCGCAGTATTTCAAAAAATGGCCTGGTCAGGAAGGGGGGTAAATCCTCTGGAGGGCAAGTGGTTAATGAGCTGACATGGGTTAATGTAGTGTGATTCTGACATCAGTTTGTCATCAGCTTTTGACAGATATTCACTGCAGGTGAGGTTGTTCTGCAGTTTACCTGCTTTGGGTCCCATTAGACTTCAATTAGGAGAAAATCAGTTCTGAAGTGAACAAAAGCCCAGTATTAGTATCAGGTTTAGGGATAGGGTTACCATTAGGGTGAGTGTTGGCTTTATTTACTAACAAAGCCACTTACCACTATGTCAGCATTTTGTTTTTTTTTTTTTTTAGTTTGATGAAATTTGAGACCAGATTTGATGAAACTTCAGCAAAGGTGATAATATAGCTGCTAAATCAGTCTACCCATCACTATCATTATCTATTATAACGGCTGCTTGGTCTTTTACTGTCCCATAGCCTATTGATTGAACTATCACCCCTATCATGAGGTCATCACTCTTCTTGTAAGCTACGTCCCATGTTAGATGACAGCAGTGAAATGGAGCTAAGCTTGATCGGCACCAAATTCTGACTCTCTGTCTCCCAGTGTTGCTGTGCTCACACAAAAATGCACTCTAGCCAACCCTACCATGGATAAAGTGCCTACTATGGTTTCCATCACCTTTTACCTGGGAAGAAGAACATCGGGCTGCACTCTGCAAATTGTTACTGTTTAGGTAACTTTATTGAAACAAGTGGTTGAAAGCACTTCTGTTTGCTTTAATGTGCTCCCCCCCCCCCCCCCCCCTCCAGTAGGGCTTAATCATAGAGTCCACAATCCTACAACTCTACAATAAGGCCCCACTAGAGGGTGAAATGCGTAAGTAAAAGACAGGAGCACAGGAGTGCTTTCATCCACTTGTTTCAATCAAGTTACTGAAGAAGTATGGATTGGCCTGATATTGTTTCTATAAGTCTTGCTGTGCAGAGAATTACATCAAGCTAAAAAAAGGCTGAATTGGGTACTTATACTGCTGTGTTTGGCCATTCTTTTATTAAATACACAGCTGGAGTGAATGGTGGTCTTTTACATCTATCCTAGTTCAGATTTAATTATCCTGACTGCTCTGAACTGATAAGGGGAAATCTAATGGTTACTATGGATGGCTCATGCGATTCCACTGCACTTTGCCTTATTAAATCAATTAATTTAAAAATAATACTTTTAAAAAAGGCTCCACAAGCACAAACGGTCCCATATTTTTTACTGTCTGATGGTCAGCATCAAGCAGACAAACAATATAGATTCTTCTTGTAGAACTGCATCCCATATATTATTGCCCCCCCATGCCCACCCACCCCCCATCCGTTTCTTGCAATGAGCCATTTGACTGGCAGGACATATATCTTGTAATCTCCCTGGAGTATTATTATGCTGCAATTAGAATTTATTTCCGCTCTCTCAGCGACAGATTACCATAAATACTTTTTAAAAGCCACTTCATTGAAGTCTAAATATGTTAAACTGTAAAGTGAAAAAACAGGAAACTGCTGACCTTACGCGTTTCAAGTATCCTTTTAACCTATTAGCACCATTTAAACTGCAGGTGTGAAGAAAGCCTAACCAATCCCTGGTGCCTATTTATACATTTTTCTGTATTCAGCCACAGCCAAGGCAATGTACAGCTGTAAAAAATGCCATGAATATATTATTTTCCTTGCCCTGAGATGGCAAAAGAGAATGAGAACTAAGGAGGACCTTATGTAAGAGTCCTGAGAAGAGACCACAGATCAAAAAGTGAATTTGCCATTTGCAGCCTTGACTGTCAATCACCGGCCGGTGATTACTCGCCGACAGCCGGTAATCGCCAAGTATTACCGACAGGGGAGAGACCAGTATGTAAACAATACAGATCTCTCCCCTGTCAGCTCCAGCACACTGCTTTGTATGGCTCTGCACAGCAGAGCTGTACAAATCAGTGTGCTTACAGTTGAAAGCACACAGCCAGGGGCGGGCTGACCATTTGGAAACTCGGGCACTGCCCGAGGGCCTGGGGTCAGTAGGGGGCCCCATGAGATGCCCCTGGTACCTTTTTTGAGTTTGGGCAAGGACACAGGGGCCCCATGATCCCCTATTGCCCTGGGGCCCCATTAGTTGTCAGTCCGCCCCTGCACATAGCACATAATGTGGAACAGCACACAGTTAACCCTTTGATCACCCCAGATGTTAACCCCTTCCTACCCAGTGCCATTAGTACAATGTCAGCGCTTTCTATTAGCACTGATCACTGTATTGGTGTTACTAGGGATGTCAGTGACATCAAGTCAGTTCCCCCCCAGTGTCAGAATGCCTGCTGCAGTCCCACAGCCCCGCTTTAGGTTGCTGATCATCACCATTACTAGTAAAAAAAAAAAAAAATTTCAATATCTATACTGCCATTTGTAAACGCTATGACTTTCACCAATTAATTTACATGTATTTGGATTTTGTTTAGCAAAGACATGTAGCAGAATACATTTTGCCCTAAATTTATGACGAAATTTGATTTTTAAACTTTTTGTAATGGACATGTTTAGTAGCAAAAAGTCAAAAATATAGTATTTTTCTCAAAATTGTTGGCCTTTTTTTGTTTATAGCACAAAAATTAAAAAATGCACAGGTGATCAAATACCACCGAAAGAAAGCTCTATTTGTGGGAAAAAAAAAGAATGTAATAACACAGCGCCGCAATGCAGAAAATGGCCTGGTCAGGAAGGGGAGTAGATCTTCTGGAGGGCAAATGGCTAAGATGTTTTACTGTGTCCATCAAAACAGACAAAACCAAGTGTATACGTCAGTAGCACTGTTCAGGAAGATCCATAATCCTCAATAGCATGAAATGGCTGATCAGTTCAAGTCCCTATTCTGTCCCTCCTCCTGTGGAACTTCTCCCTATACTAGGTACACTCTTCCTATCCAGTGGGTTCCTATCCCTGACCAAATCTCATGCAAAATGTGTGCCCACTGCAGCGAGCCAGTGCTTATTATAAGCCATGTTGTCACTAAAGATGGCCGCAGAGGTCATCTGGGGCAGCAGCGTCCATTCGGACAGATGCTCCTCTGATGACACCTACAGGAGCCTAAGAGGAATGTGAGTTTCTCCTGTCCTCCATTCTCCCTGCATGATGGTTTCTGGCAGCGCCACCTGTGCAGGGAGGTCAAACTACACCTGCCTACCAGTTATCATTGGTGTAGCAATAGCCCTAGCAGCCCATGCAGCTGCTACAAGGTCCGGAGGAGGGGAACTCTGTTAGGGGTCTTCAATATAGAAAGGCTGAAGTCAGACTTTAGGATGGTCACTGGTCACAGATCCCCCTCTGCAGTAGGATACATTGGCTTACTTGTCCTAGCGTAGAGTAAGAGTTCTTTGAACATCTACTAAAGACTGAAATTAGCCCTCTTTTAGGCTCCACTAAAACTTTATGGATCATCTGATATTATTATGGTTATCATTAAATTGCTACTAAAACTACAACTTTTATCCACAGCACTGGTCCCTTGTAGTGTACTCCCTATGCTGCCAGCTCTCATGCTGCCTGTCTTTGATTTGGCCAGTGATTTATGACAAGGCCAATGTCATGTTTAAAGAGCTGTGCAAACAGTTGGTGCTATATAAATCCTGTTTATTAATAATAATAATATAATGTTACAGTTGATACTGCAAGCTGCTAGAGAGAGAGAGAGAGAGTTAACCGGGGCACTGATGATTCGTATGTATTTCCTCGATAATTATTCCTTACGTAACAAAATATCATGTGTTCTTTTTTTGTATGAAATACAAATGTCATATGTATGAGACTGATATGTTGAAATTATCTGTCTCAGTAATGGATACTGCACATCCTATGTGAGGTCCCCAAACATCCTGACATCCATAATCCATACTCACCACCAGATGGTGCAACAAGCATCTTGCAGAGCATTCCTATGGTGGGGGAGTAAAATAAAAAGTTAGATGACTCTCCTGTTCCTGATAAGAAGAGCTGGCAATCATTTTACAGGAAGAATCACAAATACTGGGGACTGTAAACTAGTGGAAATGACAACATGGGTTTTCTCCTAGGACACTCAGAATTCATTACTGGTATCTGTGTATGTGTTATGTATATTTTTTAAACACAGCAAGAGGAAGAAGACTTTTTATAACTGTTTTGACTTTACTAACATACAGTACCATTCAGTCTGTCAATATATGAATTAATGATAACAAAGTTTGATTATTAACATAAAAATTATTGCACTGCCTCTCCCAAAAACTACTTTAAATAATGAATGAATGAACTCCCTACTCCAAAGGGTCCCCACAAATGTGCATATACTATTATGCCCCATGGGCTGGCAAGTATATCCCTCCTGCCCAGTAACTAAATCCTAAATAAACCAATACAAGGTGCTTAAACAACAATGGTGCTAAAAATAGCACATATACAATGCCAAAAACTGTATATACAGTGAAATTGTATAAAATAATATATATATATATATATATATATATATATATATATATATATATATACACACAGTTGTGTTCAAATAATAATAATAGCAGTGTGTTGAAAAAAGTGAATAAAGCTGAAAATCCTTCTAATAGCTTTTATTTCCATCCACACAAATGCATTGGGAACACTACACATTCTATTCCAAATCAAAACATAAAGAAAAATATATCAAATTTGTGTTGTTCCTCTAAAAAAATTGAAGAAAAGTGAATATTAGACTGTTCAAAAAAATAGCAGTGTTTGTATTCTTTACAAACTCAAACATTCACTATATAAACTGAAAAATGTTTGAAGATTTTGCTTTCCTTTGAATCACTTAATGAATATTTCGTTGTATAAGCACTGTTTCTGAGAACTGCTGTACATCTGTGTTGTATGGAGTCAACCAACTTCTGGCACCTGTGAACAGGTATTCCAGCCCAGGATGATTGGACTACATTCCACAGTTCTTCTCTATTCCTTGGTTTTGCCTCAGAAACTGCATTTTTGATGTCACCTCACAAATTTTCTATTGGATTAAGATCCGGGGATTGGGCTGGCCACTCCATAACGTCAATCTTGTTGGTCTGGAACCAAGATGTTGCACGTTTACTGGTGTGTTTGGGGTCGTTGTCTTGTTGGAACACCCATTTCAAGGGCATTTCCTCTTCAGCATAAGGCAACATGAACTCTTCAAGTATTCTGATGTATTCAAACTGATCCATAATCCCTGGTATGCGATAAATAGGCCCAACACCGTAGTATGAGAAACATCCCCATATCATGATGCTTGCACAACCATGCTTCACTGTCTTCACAGTGTACTGTGGCTTGAATTCAGTGTTTGGGGGTCATCTGACAAACTGTCTCCGGCCACTAGACCCAAAAAGAACAATCTCACTTTCATCAGTCCACAAAATGTTGTGCCATTTCTCTTTAGGCCAGTCAATGTGCTCTTTGGCAAATTGTAACCTCTTCAGCACATGTCTTTTTTTCAACAGTGGGACTTTGCGGGGGCTTCTTGCAGATAGCTTGGCTTCACATAGGCGTCTTCTAATTGTAACAGTACTCACAGGTAACTTTACACCTTCTTTGATCTTCCTGGAGCTGATTGTTGGCTGAGTCCTTGCCATTTTGGCTATTCTTCTATTCATTCGAATAGTCGTTTTTCGCTTTCTTCCACGTCTTTCAGGTTTTGGTTGCCATTTTAAAGCATTTGCGATCATTTTAGCTGAGCAGCCTATCATTTTCTGCACTTCTTTATATGTTTTCCCCTCTCCAATCAACTTTTTAATCAAGGTACGCTGTTCTTCTGAACAATGTCTGAAACGACCCATTTTCCTCAGAATTTCAGAGAGAAATGCACTGTAACCAGCATGTACAACATTTGCTGCCTTCCTTCCTTAAATAAGGGCAATAATTGCCACCTGTTTTTCAAAGAATGAATGACCTCACTAATAGAACTCCACACTGCTATTATTTTGAACATGCCCCTTTCAATTAGTGATTCAATTACACAGAATCAGCAGCATGCATGTCATGACTGCTGGGTCTGTTGGATTTCTATTACTCTACTACTCCTGCTAGTAAATTATTTGCCATGTAGAAATATAATTTCTACCAAAAACAGTGATTGATCAGGTTAGGGATGTCAAGACAAATAAATTCTTTAAAAATCATACAATGTGATTTCCTGAATTTTTTTTTAATTCTGTCTCTCAGAGTGGGAATGCACCTACAATGTGAATTTCAGACCCCTCCATGATTTCTAAGTGGGAGAACTTGCAAAATCGCAGGGTGTTCAAATACTTCTGTTCCTCCCTGTATATGAGATAGACTTATTACATGCAAAGCAAGATAGTTCAAGCCGTGATTTGTCATAATTATGATGATTATGGCTTACAGCTCATGAAAACCCCAAAACCACAATCTCAAAAAATTAGAATATTGTGAAAAGGTGCAATATTCTAGGCTCAAAGTGTCCCACTCTAATCAGCTAATTAAGCCATAACACCTGCAAAGGGTTCCTGAGCCTTTAAATAGTCTCTCAGTCTGGTTCAGTAGGAATCACAATCATGGGAAAGACTGCTGACCTGACAGTTGTGCAGAAAACCATCATTGACACCCTCCATAAGGAGGGAAAGCCTCAAAAGGTAATTGCAAAAGAAGTTGGATGTTCCCAAAGTGCTGTATCAAAGCACATTAATAGAAAGTTATGTGGAAGGGAAAAGTGTGGAAGAAAAAGGTGCACAAGCAGCAGGGATGACCTCAGCCTGGAGAGAATTGTCAGGAAAAGGCCATTCAAAAGTGTTGGGGACTTTCACAAGGAGTGGACTGAGGCTGGAGTAAGTGCATCAAGAGCCACCACACACAGACGGATCCTGGACATGGGCTTCAAATGTTGTATTCCTCTTGTCAAGCCGCTCCTGAACAACAAACGTCAAAAGCGTCTTACCTGGGCTAAAGAAAAACAGACCTGGTCTGTTGCTCAGTGGTCCAAAGTCCTATTTTCTGATGAGAGCAACTTTTACATCTCATTTGGAAACCAAGAACCCCAAGTATGGAGGAAGAATGGAGAAGCACACACTGCAAGATGCTTGAAGTCCAGTGTGAAGTTTCCACAGTCTGTGTTGATTTGTGCTCCAAGGAGCAGGGCCCTCTAATCCCTCTTGTATTGAACTGTATTGTTACTGCATTGTCTCCCTCCATAATGTAAAGCGCTGAGCAAACTGTTGGCGCTATAT